ATGTACTAGAATAGTTCATTACCACCCGAGACAGGTTTTTCCAAACGCGACAGCTTTTTCGCATGACTGTACTCTTGTAAAAAAACAATTTTTTTTTAAAATAATTTTTTTGTAATAATGCATAAATACATTTCACGATAGAGTACAGGGGTGAAACTGAAGGTATAAATTTGAAAGCGGATGTATTAATTTAGGGTTTTTGATGCCAAATTTGGCATTTTTCTGGGTTTTATGATTCGTAAATTAAGCCAACCCCTTTGATTTGAATTTGACAATGAAAAACAATGCAAACAAAATGAAAAGAATCAATAATTATGTTTTGTAACAATACCAACATATTAATATTTTAATAGTATTTTAATTATATCAATGGTTATATAATAATTCATCAAGAATTTGTGTGTTTTTAATAATCAGCTAAAGTTAAAAAATTACAATAGTAATAATTGTTATAATTAAACCATTATAAATAGTTGAAAATGTATTATAGTAAATTTGTTATTATTTAATTGTATTTTCAGGGTTTAAGACAAAACACAACCCATTTACAACTTGATAAATATTTTAAGTGTATTTTAATGTGTGGGTGAGTATTAGCTTTATGGTTTGTTTATTTATTTATTATCAATGCAGTTATTTAAAATGTTATATTGACGTTCAGATTGGTTAATGCAGCTCATTATTACATTTTGGTTTGTTTTTTTTATACGCAGGCCGGTCGTGAAGGCCGTGAAACACAACCCAAAGTATCGTAAATCATTTTTATGTCGAGTGTCGTTTGAATAATAACAAAATAATGATAAATTTATTATAAACATGAATAATATAATGTATAGTAAATAATTAATATTGTTATAGTTTTTTGAGTTGAAAATTATAATAATTTTTATAATTTTGTAACTATTATATTAACTATATTTTCCTTTTCCAAAAATCGTGACTGTGTTGGAAATAGTGGTTTTTGTCCAATTTTTCTTGTTTTTTGTTGTAGTTATGTCGCATTAAATGGCTTCAATTTAATGATTTACATGTTAGTTCGTTTTTGGCCAATAGATTAAAAGAAAATGAACCCTAAATTAATACATTCGCTTTCAAATTAATACCTTCATTTTCACCCCTGTACATTGCCATTTATTCAAACTACTGTAAATTGAGTTGTTTTAGCCCAACTAAAAATAAACCAAATGTTATTAACATCTAATTTAATATTTAATTTAAATTTCATCTTAAAAATTCAAATTAGATGAAAGGATTTATTTTATTTATTTTAATTGAATTATCTTATTCTCGATATGCAGTTCAAACTAATGCACTTCACGCTGTCTATGAAATTGGCAAATGTTATTTTTGCACGACACACCAATACATGAAATTTGAAGAAGATTTAAAAGGTAAATTAGTTTATTACACATCATATTTTAATTGTTCCACACTTGAAAAGTCTTTAGAGCAATATATTACTCAACTATTTGTTGTTCAAGATACATTCCCAGACCACGATTTCGTTTTTAATGCTTATGGAATGTCTGTTGGTTGTTTAATTGGAGACCCGACAGCACTTCCCACGCCAATACCATATAAGGCTGGATGTTCTTTATATTTGGGCGCAGACCCTAATACTTCTATTTCTTTGGAAGCAACAAAAAGTGGCGAGACTTATACTACAAAATATTATTTAAGTAATGACTGCACTGGAAATGCTCTTGATGAAACAACTTTTACCAAAGGAAAATGCCAACCTGATTTATTGATGACTTTTGGTGTCTTCTCTGACTTTATTCAACCACCTGTTGATTCAAGAGCAAATTTTGCAGTGAAAAAAGAAGGAGAAAATGTAGAAGTTTATGTCTTAGATAAATGTCAAAGAAGTGTTGATGGGACTTTTTTCAAATTAGAAAGGTTTAGAAAAATAGTGATATTAAAAAGGGGATCATCATGTGACAACCTCGTCGAAATTGAAGATCAGAGCGAACTTTATAATATGCGTTTCTTCGCCAATTTTCCCGAGAACTATTTTGTTAAAAATATATACAGTGATACTGAAAAGTGCACACAAACAGACGAACAACAATATTTAAATTACGAATTGATATCGCGAAAGTGTGTTGCAGTTGGAGAATACTTTAGAAAAGTGACTCGAATTGATGACACTTATGTATTCGAAACTTTTTTAACCAACGATTGTTCCGACTCTCCAATAAATCGCGAAATATATGAATATGGCAAGTGTTCCAATGGCGTCATTTTTGCAGATGCAATTTTTGAAAGTGCAGTTGATGAAAATGCGAGTTATGCGTCTGAAATTTTTGATTATGAAATGCATCAAATGGTGTACTTTGAGTTTGGAAAGTGTGTTTACAATAGTATAAATGATGAAAAAGTATCATATATTAAGATATTACATTATAATGATATTACCGAAATTTATGAAGGAAGCTTATGTGACAATTTATATAAAACAGACCACCAAGAACTTGCGGGAACATTTAATTATTTGGTTACATTACCACCACATGATATTGTACGAGGTGTTTATAACTTACATTCAAATTGTCTTTTTGAAGATGGAAATGCATATTCAAAATATTTAATAGAAAGTGTTGATGAGTGTACAGTGACTCCTTATGGTTCTTTAATAATTAAGAAAAGTGGTGATTCTTTTAAGTATATGTATTTCCCCACATTTGACTGTTCTAATGAAACTAATAAAATAAATATCTATTCGAGAGGTGAATGTGGGCTTTTTGATGATTATCAAACAGTTAGATTGTATTATTTGGTATCTACAAAACTTGAGAAAACTATTTCTGATACAACCAAATTTGCAATAAAAATCGTAGATGATGGTATATATGTTTTTGAGTTAAATAAAGTGCACATAACACTAGAAAATACTTATCTTAAATTTGTTAGAATGAATCAAATAGTTATAGTCTTGTCTGGGTTAACACCATATGAACTCGTAGAATACCAAACAGCCGATTTTGCATACACATTTGAATATACAGAGAGACTCCCTCTTCATGATTTAGTCGAAAATTACTTCGGGATTTTTTATCAATGTGTTTTTTCGATAGATGAAGTTGAGCAGACCATTATTATGCACAACACAACGTGTTATAATATGAGTGGAAATAAGTCGATTCAATATGGTAAAAACGGTGACGTGTACACAATTGCAAAGTATTCAGAGATGTCATGTGTTGGTCAGCAGACAACTGAATATTACAACTTTGGTGAGTGTACTGAAATTAGTTTAGATAAAAGAACAATATTTTCACAAGAAATAATACGAGGTGTATTAAAAGGTGGTGAAACTTGTGTTGCTACAAAAAGTGACTTTAAAATAGTTTACCAGTTCAATAAATGTTACTTTGATGGTGAAAGTGGCTCTTTAAAATTTGTAAAGAAAAACGATGTTGTGATGTATTTCGTTGGTGTTGATTGCAATTCATTAAAAGAAGTTGAAACAACACAAATTTTCGGATTTGTCGAGTTTTTAAAAAAATATCCAAAGTTTAAAGTCTCGCAATTTAAATATGGAAACACAGAAAATTGTATTTTAAAAGATACAATTGGAGCACCACAAATGAATTTGTACAAAATTAACTGCACCAAAATTGATACAACGTCAGTACAAGCATTAACTAATAATGACACCTATGAACTCAAAAATTTTAATGGAAAAACGTGTGATGGAGAAGTAATAAAAATCGAAAAATACACAAAAGGTCAATGTGTATTAAAAGAAGGAAAAAATGT